TTACTTTATTGGTCGACACAAAAGACGAGCATATGGACACTAATTGGGATGCTCTGTGCCTTCAAAATTGGTTGGTCACACTCTCGTCTTGGGTACCCATCACTCTTATTACCCGTCCTCTTCTCAACCGTCAACAACTCCTCGCAACAGTCTAAGCTCACCGCTAGTAGATATTGTCACATTTGAACTTTTGTACACTCTTGTAAAACGCGTTTGCTAAGGAGAGCTTTCAACACTCTTGTAAAAAATGATTCGTTCGTTCTCCCAAACTAATAGAACTTTGCCTCGTTATCCGTCTGCGTTGCCTACCCTCCCTGTGGATGGGCTGGATCATTTCATTCTCTAATATTGGGCTCTAATGGGCTCACATGAGATCTGCCCCGGCGATTTTGGGCTCGTCTCACGAGTTTCTTTTTTTTATTTTTTAAACATTTTTTTCCCTATTAAAATATATTAATTTTCACGCTATTTATTTAAATATTAGAGACAATAATATGGAAAAATATGTGACCTGTCGAATTCATCCGAAATGACATTCTTTTAAACCTCAAGAGCAAATAAAAAATCGTGGTTTCTTTTGGCCTCGCAGTGGAGGGTTTCTTTTCTAACAAGAAAACCCCTCAGCAAAAGGGTTTAATTAGCTTCTCCTTCATTTCTAACTCGGTTTTGCTTTAGCATAGAAGCGCCAATTCGATTGAACTCGGACACACTGCAAAAATTCCGCCATGGATGTCATCAAGACGCAGCAAATTTCATCGAGGCCAGTGGAGAAGGTTGTAGTCCACCCCCTGGTTTTACTCAGCATCGTCGATAACTACAACCGAGTCGCCAAGGAATCCCGCAAACGAGTTGTAGGAGTCCTACTTGGTAGCTCTTTCAAGGGCACCGTCGATGTCTGTAATAGCTATGCAGGTCTGTATTCGTTTCTCTTTCCGACTTCTCTTTAGCCCTTGTCAAAAATATTGCTGTAGCGTGTTTGGATCTGGATGTTCTAGTCGCTCGATTCGGTTTAATAGCTGAAAGTGGATGCTGGTTGATTTTTATGATAACGATACAAAGAATCTGGGCATTTTGGTGGGTATTTCACTGAAATTGATGTTAGCTGAACAGAAATTAGAATTGCCTATAGAGACTGGAAATGTACCTTTCTTGTGGTTGCCCTGATTCGCGAAATAGACATGAAAAGAAGCCATTTTTTCGCTTTGGCTGCCCTGATTCGCAAATTCTCCTAGGTTTCTTCTCATTAGGAATTGATTAGGATTCGAGCACTCATTTGCCGCCTTTTCCACTTTTCATGATTTGTATGACACTAGAAGTTCTTTGGGTAACCTATACTCGGTTGGCCCATGTAATTGGATTGCAGGTTTGGATTTGACAGTAAAAAATTTCAACCCTTAAGACACTCATTGTGTTAAAACTTTCTCTTATCCATCTGACATGAGATTGTTAGGACTTTTCGGTTGAGCCGTTACTAATTTTAGGTAGAGTTTTTATTTCTCTCCGTTGTAGAGTTTTGTTGTTTCCCATACATTGTTAATAGTCTACTCAGTATGAGTCCAGTAGGGCGGTTATTGTTGTGAAGGGCAGTCTGCAAGTTTTCTATTTTTGAACTACATCAATTGGTCTTGATCTATGTTTAATTGTGACTTTTGTTGTATGGTATACTCTCTTTATTTCAGTGCCCTTTGAAGAAGACGAGAAAGATCCGAGCATATGGTTTCTTGACCACAACTATCACGAGTCGATGTTTTCAATGTTCAAGAGGATCAATGGTAATTTCTCTACTTCTAGTACCTTTTGTATTTTTTCTATGTTGAGGATTGTTTGCTTATATCATCCATCATTTGTGGACATGTCAGCTAAGGAGCACATCGTAGGTTGGTATAGCACAGGTCCAAAGCTACGGGAAAATGACCTAGATATTCACCAGTTGTTCCACAAGTAAGATCTCCGTACTTGTTTGGGATTGAGTTTCATAAAATTTTATTTTAATGTTCTCGAATTCTGTATAGCTTCAAACTATTGTGATTGTTCTCTTTGTTCATTTTATCTAGTTTTCTGAGCTACTTTATTTATGTAATTTTATATCACCAATTTAGACCCTTTTGAAAGCCATTCTATGGTCGATCAATGATGAATATTGTATCCTTTTGGCCAATGTTGTTTTTCTGCTTACTCTACGAGTCACTCACACGCTCTTCGGTGTTTTTTTAGTTATGTCCCAAATCCTGTGCTTGTGATTATTGATGTACAACCCAAGGAGCTGGGAATACCTACTAAAGCCTACTATGATGTTGAAGAAGTTAAAGAAGTACGGTTTTATCTCTTTTTTCCAATATTAGCTTAATGGTCCTGAATTAACTATAAAAATGATTTTCTAGTTGCCCTTACATATCTTCTAATTTGGGTTGACAGAATGCTACCCAGAAAAGCCAGAAGATCTTTGTTCATGTACCTTCAGTTATTGCTGCCCATGAGGTTGAGGAAATTGGTGAGTTATAAAATGAGATTCAAATCTTCGTTGTACGGTGGTTTATAAGTTTTTACCTCATAACCTTATTGTTTGGTCTAAATACAGGTGTGGAGCACTTACTAAGGGATGTGAAGGATACCACCATTAGTACACTTGCTAATGAGGTCTATTTTCTTACTGTTACTTCTCTTAAATTGCAGTGCTCTTCAATCAATTTTCTTTTATTCAAATCACCTTCCCGAATTTTGTGATTGACTTGATGTACCAAGCTTCGACGTCTAGATGGAAGCATTAGGTTACAAAAGGCCTTGGCTTATATAAATGATTTTTTTTTTATAGGTTACAGGAAAACTTACTGCTTTAAAAGGTTTAGATGCACGACTACGTGAGATTCGGGGCTACCTCGATCTTGTTATTGATGAGAAGCTTCCATTAAACCATGAGATTCTTTACCATTTACAGGTATCATTTTCTCCTCGCTTCTTCCATTAGCCTTTTAACCATCTCACTGCATTGTATAGATGTACCTATGTATGCGTGTGTATAATAGTATGTATTTGATGATGTGCTTTCTGCACTAGCACTCCAAGCAAAATGACAAATATTCCGCAACTCCAAACATGTTTTCCATTGTTTAAGTGGCATGCCTTGGTTCTGAGTACACCTTTCGTGCTAATCTGATTCCCAGCTAGGTGACATTGCTTGTAGTTTTGCTACTCAAAAAGACCCACTGTTAATAAAGGAGGAAACAGTTCTTAAGAAAATTCTTATGAACAAGAACAGTTTATAGGGTTTCGCACCAACTAGATCTATACCGATATTTTTATTTTCATGATAAATTTGCAGGATGTGTTCAACCTTCTTCCCAATCTAAATGTGGCAGAATTGATAAAATCATTTGCAGGTAAACACTAACTCAAGATTCTTCTCCATTGGCTTATTAACATGTTTCCTTAAAAATATTCATCCATATTTACCCTACTGTGCAGTAAAAACCAATGATATGATGCTGGTTATTTATCTTTCCTCACTCATCCGGAGTGTCATTGCTCTACATAATTTAATCAACAACAAGGTACGTTCCCTCCCTCTCCACCAAATTTACGCACGCATATTATACATATCAATTAGCTTATAATCATTCATTGCTCTCCTGCAAAATCTGTTCTCCAGATGCTAAACAAAGAACACGAGAAGGCCGAGGACGCAAAACCAGCAATCGTCCCCGCTGTGTCTGGAAACTAACATGCAACTTCCATCGACAAATCTGTTGTTTTAGAAGTTGAAGGAACTAGTTATCTGTTTGTTGAGTTCTTGGTAGATGACATCTTTGTTTTATCCTATTGGAAGAGATGGCTAGTTTCGGAGCATGTATTTTCCTGACCATTTTTGTGTTCAATGTCAATTGTACACCCTCACTTTATTTGCGCAAACATGTTGTCACGTCGACCACTCATTTATCTTTTTCTCATAAGGTTCCTCCATCTGTAGCATTGTTGATGTCTTATATAACAGGAAATTTGATGTCGGGATGAATGAAAAGATGGATGGATGGAATCCTATGCCTCCAATTACAGATGGTATTAAATTTTAGTAACTCTGAATTAGTAATAGTTTGATATGAGAAAGTTTCTTGAGAAGGATTATTAACATGAGTTATGATTGGGAACACATTCACCGTTGGGCATTAGACATCTTAATGCGTTGCAATTTGGACATGGATCGATCTTTATGCTTTCCAGCAGCTATACAATCTGAATTGGCTACCACTATAGAGACCACTCCAATTCTTGAGACTGGAGAGGGGTACCCCGAGTACTGGGCCAATTTCTTTGTCGGTTGGAGACTTTAATGCGTTGTAATCTGGACATTGATCGATCTTTATGCCTCCCGGTAGCTATACAATCCGAATCGGCTACCACTATTGAGACTAGGGAGGGGCACCTTGAGTGCTGGGCCAATTTCTGTGTTGGTTGGAGACCTTAATGCGTTGCAATCTAGACATTGATTGATTTTTGTGCTTCCCAGCAACTATACAATATGAATTGGCTACCACAATGGAGACCGCTTGAGTTCATGAGACTGGGGAGGGGCACCCCTAGTGCTAGACCAATCTCTGTGTCGGTTGGAGACTTTAATGCGTTGCAATTTGGACATTGATCGATTTTTATGCTTCCCAGCAGCTATACAATCCAAATCGATTACCACACTATAGAGATTGCTTGAATTCTTGAGACTGAGGAGGGCCACCTTAATGCTGGGTCAATTTCTGTATCGGTTGGAGATCAGGTTCGAGATGATATCATATGGTCCAAAGGGGTTGGGATTTAGAGAGAATTTACAATTAATTAAAAGAGATTTATCAAAATTTAAAATTTAAAGAATTAAGGAGGGAGAAAACGATCCAATAATCGCTTAACAATGGCGGCAAGCCGGCACAAAATTATTGTACAGAAGATTTGACAACTTGTTTCGGACATAGCCATGCATCTCTACTGTAAGAGTGTCTTCCCTTGATTTTTTTTTTTTGTCTCTGCTTTTGCTTTCCGTTGCTGTGTGAGCACATTCCGGCTCTGTAGCTCTAATTCATTCTATTATCCCTATCGAATTCGATGCATTTATGTTTAAACCGGTTGTTCAAACAATTATTCAGAGTTTCTAGAGCTCCTTGTAAGGCTGAGTGGAAAACCGGTTGCCTTACTTGATTCCAATTTGAAGTTGAGTTGTAATTCATTGGCGATTGGTTGAGTTGTAACTATTAGCTTGCTTGTGTAGTCGGTTGTTGATAATTTTACAAGTTGTCCCTTGAAGTTGACATCAGATATGACAGCAACAATATTAGTTCTATGAGTTAGAGAATTGTTTCTGGCTGCGTCCAATTGAATTTAAGCAGTTGTCGGTGGAGAGTTGTGGAAGTTCTGTATGTCACAGAGAGCGTAAGATGCTCGACGAAATGCCTGATCAAGACTTTTCTATCTCTACGCTGTTCATGTAAAGGTTTTACTGTTCGTGCTTGATGTGGTACTCTGAGGTGAAGATTCTAGAGCTAGTTCTTGGAGTTGCTTATGAGAACACCGCTTGACATGTTCTAGCCTCGAACTTTTAACTGTTCAAGGATATTTATGCTCTATTTCAATTTTGAGCATGAATGTGGAAACCTCTTGTTGTTATTGGAAATTAGGAATTTGAAGCTCCAATTGGGTTGTTGCTGTAAGGCTTGGTGACCTGCTGTAACTTTCTTGATCCTTCAGTCATGGGCCAAGCTTCAAGAGATAAGAGGGTCTTGACTACAATTCTATTCGGCTATTTGTCCTTTTGGTTCGTTACCTTTTTCCACGTTTTATTATTTACTTTGTCTCGTTTGCAGAATATATACTATAGTAAAGCAAAAGAAGAAGGCTGGCGTGCTCGAAGTGCGTTCAAACTTCTGAAAATAGATGAAGAATTAACATATTTGAAGGTTTGTTCTTGTGTTGGGCTCCTCTCTCTTAAAATATTTTTACCTTTCTGCTAGGATGTCAATCACTGAGATGGTCCAGATGAATGGTAATTGGTACTAAATATTCCTTTCCAAGAATACTAATTTCCTTTGTTTTTTAGGAGTTCTATGTCCTGGAGATGTCATTATTCCCTCGTGAACAATGCCGCAATATTTTGGATTAACCTTCCATAACAGAATAGTAGCTGGAGCCCCTGGTAGCTGGAGCTAGGTAATCTCTTTTGGGTGTCTTCTTGTTGCAATCTGTTCATCAAACTAGTGGACAATGCTTTATGGGGGAAATACAATTTTTCATATAAAATACAACTAATTCTTACAAGAATTCTGCAATATGAATCTCTCTTCTCATCTAGTTTCTTTTTTTCTTAGTCAGTCAAGTTGAAAGGTTTGCTGTGATCTCCTCTGTTCCTTGAGATTATTGCTTTGACGTGTAGATTATTTTTGACATGTTTAGCATTGGTAAAACTTGTCAAGTATTATAATGAATTGCGTGAGGACCATAATCAAAGCTAGGTCTCTGTTGTTTTACATTTTCGAGTTTTTTTTTTTTTTTTTTTTGTTGCAGCTGAAGTTGCTTTTCCCGTAGTGACTTTTGCAAGACCGAAAGGCAGTCGCAATTCCAGTATAGGTAACCTTTTGGCTTCACTTTTTTTATTGGTAACTCTAAAGGTCTATCTTTCGGTTATAATTGAACTTATTTCCTGAAAATAATACCCTTCTAAGTGAAAATTGTCATTATAGCGTCTGGTTCATAGGATTCTTACGCATGGATTTCAGATCCCATTGAACTTTAGATTGTTATCGTTTAATACTATGTGGGACTCGTGTCCACCCAACACCAAATTGTGGGGTTTGCTTATGTTCGTGGTGGCATCTGTAATATAAAAAAAAAAAACATGTAAAAGAGGACAAGATAGTCAAAAGGCAGCTCACATATTTTCTAAAACTTCGATGGTTATGTTTATGGACATTAAAAAGTTTTGAATTACAACCGTGAATTGTTCTATTTGATTCTAGGTAGTCGGTCGTTTAATACAATTGCTCAAATGTTGACGTGTCAGGCTGATTAAACTATAACTAGTTACAACTTACAAGTGATTATTTGGCATCATTTAACTTTTAAACAAAGTAGTGACTATGATTTAACTTTATGTTCATGTTGAAGCCCATACGTGGACTGGGTGTGAATGTTGAGGCATTTGTAGTTTGTGAGAATTATTCGCCTCCTGAGGGTTTCAACCCATAAGATCCAACCCCTGCTAGAAAAGGTGGGAAGCCCATCAGGAGGAGATGACTTAGGTAAACTCGATGTACGACCTTGATTGGGAGTTCACATATCGAAGGACGTGATACAACATGTTCTTGTTCTTTAAAGATTAATATGTTTTACAGCTGGCTATGACCATGTCTTCTTGTCTTTAAACTTCATATAATTAGTGTCTCTGATTTCAATGTGATCAATTCCCTGATATTTTTGGTTACACAAGAGGAAGTAATAGCATTGCTATTTTGCTGCATTGTGTCCCTCTCAGATTGCAGTAGTGGGTGGCTGGGAGGACCCAATAAAGTATCCCCTCAGCGGATATGATTCCGATCGTTCATACCCACTGCCCAGAGGTGCCGAGGGAACTTTGATCCTGTGCAACCTCCTAGTGCCCCTCCTTACAACAGGGCTCTTGAAATGAAGAAGACCTTCCAGTGAAGGAATTCGAGAACTGAACCTTCCTTGGATTCCGGATTGTGCTATTCAATGTTAGATAACCTGCAAAGTTGATTTGGGATGGACCGGTAATTATTAAGAAACAGCAATCATTTCTCCCTCCCCCCCTCTCAGTCTCTGTCCTATTTTTGTAAAAAAAAAAAAGAAATGCTGTGGATCTTGATTTGGATTATTTTAACTGAAATACATAAAGATTAAGATGTATTGTGATAAGCACGAGATTATCCCGCACGAGTCTTAATCATCCTTCATAATTTCCATGGACATGAACCCCACCCCCATGCATACCTCAAACAAAAACAAGAAAGGAAAATCATTTTGAGCATTACACATTTTCTAAGGGCATTTTACTGCATGTCGGTCTGCATGTTTCTATGTTTTTCATATGCAAATGTTTGGACAAACTGGGGTTTTACAGGTGGCCCCCCTGATTGTGAATCAACCAACCATCCTTGCTAATGGGAATCTGAGCTATTCAAAGGCGTGGCCCTCAAAATTCACAGGTCTAACTCATCCCTTTCTAACTGTTGCCTTCTAAAAATTTATGACCCGACATATCACGCATAGAGATTCTTGTTGTCTATCCCATTCCCTCCTTTTGGAGATGCCATAATTTAGGCGTTTAATGGTGGACATCATTGAACAAAAATAACTCAGTGAAATAAACTTATATGTTCATTTTTTTTTTTTTTACCTCATCGAGTGATATATTGTAGATATCCAATTTATGTAATTTTATAATGAACAGATATCTGCTCGAGCTCAAGGCATTTAGACAAGAAAAGTTTCGAGCTTCGAAGACTGAAACTCGATTATCATCTGCTACAGCATCATCTTACAGAGACGGGCACGCAAAAGAATGTCTAAAATATCGACTATATTTTACATGCGTTCCGGTCCCACGATTACAGAACTTTCAGTAAGTACTTCCAGAGACTGAATTTAATCTGGACAAAGATGAAGAGTGGTTTAAGAATTCGATGCAATCTTCGATTGCTTCAGCTCGGTGCGACTCCATGGAATCCGAAACCGATCTTGACCTTGTAAAAGTGGCGGCTGAAGAAACCTTTCGTGAAGATTTTCTGGTGGATACAAAGCGAATGGCTTCACTTACTCTGGCCTTGAAACTCTGTAGAAATCCCACCGGCAAGTGCCTTGTGTCTCTGCTCAGGCCGAAGCTCAAAATTCCAGCGCCGTCGTCACCGCCGCCGTGTTTGAGCACGACTGTTGGGTTATCATTCACATCAGGACTGAAGCTGACCCGCTTGCTTGATTTCCTTGTCATTTCAACCTTACAAGTGAGATGTAAATCCAAAGGATAAACAGATATGGGTTTTAGAGAGAGAGACAGAGGGAAGCTAGTAACTTTTGTAGTCGGCAGAGAGGCTCAAAGTAAACGCTTGGTTTACGTTCAAATAGACATTTGATTTATAAATAAAAAGATTCTTGGTTTGGATTGAAGGGGTGAAGAAAGATTAGGTTTTTATATGGGTAATACATGAAGGAAGGGTCTTATGGGAAGTGGATTAGGTCAGAAAAGAGATCAGTGGAGCCAGCAGAGAATAAAAAGAGGAAGAAAAAGAAGAAGTAGAAGAGGGAGAGAATCAAGGGGGGAGCAATAGAGAGACAACCACTTGATACTCCTCAGCATCATCGTTGCTTTTGAGGCACAACGGAAGGGCCCTACAAATTTCTCTTTAGATGGCCATCTTGATTCCCCATTTCCAGTAGAATCACAGAAATCCTTCGCCATGGTTAAGGTTAGTGGGCCTCTCTCTCTCTCTCTCTCTGTGTCTCCTTCTGTTGCCTGAATAAAGCTTTTTCTTTTCTCTTTTACTGTCCTTCGCAGAATTATTTGTCTTGTAAAATGTGCATGCTCTGAGATCTTTTACCTTTTTGACTGAGAATTAAAGCTAAAGGGGGCCTGAATTCAATTCTTTACCTCTCTGTTGACTCCTCTTCATCTGTTCAACACCTTTAATTATACTGTGTACGTCCTTGTTATGTTTTCTTCTACTTTTTTGCTTATGTTTTGTTCTACATCTTTAACTGATTTCTTTTTTGTTTCTTCTTTTCTCTCTCTCTAAACCTAAACTTACAGCCATTAGATTGATGAATCCACACGCCAAATGTGGTCTTGACAATCACAAAATACTAAAGATGTTCTTATTCCTGTTCATTTACGCCATTTCCCCTTTCATGTCCACCTTCCGTTTTTAAAAATACTACTTTGTTATAAACAATGTTTTGTTCTATTCTCCAACTAATATGAGATCTCACAATTCACCTCCTTCGGGGCCTAGCGTCCTTACTGACACACTACCTTATGTCCACCTCCTTCGGGACTTAGCCTCCTCACTGGCACATCGTCCAGTATCCCGCTCTGATATCGCTTGTAACGGCTTAAGTCCACTACTGACAAATATTGTTATATTTGGAGTTTATCTTTCAGGAAAATGCTTATACTATAAGGGGAGAGGTTTCTACACCCTTGTAAAGAAGGTTTGGTTCTCATCTCTACACATGCACGGTTGCCGTTGCCATAGTAAAAGATTTTTTTGCACATTTAAAATTCTTGGTCATTTCATTTCCTTTGAAATTTTACTAATATTATATAAGTTAAGCTTCTGGTGCACCCATGGTTTTTAGTTGAAAATGATAACTTCACGTTTACCTGTCCTTTTAATTATATTATACTTTGAAGTTAACCAGAGATTAGTTATCATTCACGACCAACTTTATGTTAGTTTATTATTGATCGATCAATTTGGCCGATCTTTTAAAAAGCTCCTCTTTTAGATGATGCAAGTTTCAAAATAAAAGTGTTATAATAATTTTAGTTTATTTTAATTATTGTATTAAAAATCGACTGAAGTTATGGGTTCCTTAAATCCTTTCTACGGTCAAAACGGGCTAAAGCTCTTTACGGTGGGCTTGACAAATTCAGTACAGGTAAGCCCATCAGTAATTACCTTTTTAGCCGTTTGATTTTTGATGTGAGGGCCTTTTTAGTCATTTACTATATACATGGATTAAATTATGAGTTCTTCTTGATAATCCTAATTGACTTGGTAGTATACATTTGATAATTTCATTTTTATTTATGAATAAAAATTATATAATAATAGAAACATCTGACGTAAGCTAACATACATAATCGGAGAGAAAATATGGTAATTATTTAAATCCATAAGTGAAGGTATAATGGTGTATGAGATAGATGTTAGAGTTTCCAACATTTGGTGAAAAAAAAGGAACAAAGAAACTAAAAAATAAATGACCCAAAACCAGAAATTCCAAGCTGGGTGTGAATTATGAGAGTTGGAGGAAAAGCTGATGACTTCATGTGCTCATCTCATCTCAAACCTAAACCAAAACCAAAACCAAAACCAACCCCCCTTTCTTCTTTAACCATTTGTATCCATTCAAATAGTAACTAGTAATTGTCATCATGATATAAACACGAATAAACGACAATCCAAAAAAAAAAAAAAAAAAAAAAAAAAAAAAAAAAAAAAAAAAAAAAAAAAAAAAAAAAAAAAAAAAAAAAAAAAAGTAAGAAGCTTTCGTTGATTCCACACACACAGACATGGAATGTCCACAAATGTAGTCTCCTCAAGTCTTCCCAGATACTCTCCAATACCACTAGACGAATTTTTCCGTCTTTGTCTCTTTCCCTCTCTTTTGGGTCTTCGATTGCTTGCTTCGTTACCCAACTTTTCAAAATCATCAGACAGCTAAAGTTCATCCTCTTCCCAAATTCCCAACTCAGAAAGTGCACATACCATATTATATGCTGTCAAGTGTCAAACTTCCTTTCAATAATGAACACCATTTCTCTTTCTACAAAACTCTCTTTCCCCTCCCTTTTCCACTTCCGCCACCAAAGCCCCCTCCTCTTTTAGAATCCCACATTTTAGTCTTCTACTTCAAACCCCAGAAGTAGGAGTAGTGTTGAGGCTAACAAAATGACTATTGCTGAAGTTAGGCCTGAAGATGGTGAGGATGATAGTCCTCCTTTGCTCGACCCTGAGATCAATTCCAAACCTCGTCGTATTGCTCTCTTTATTGAGCCTTCTCCCTTTGCGTGAGTGTTTCTATGCTTAATCAATCTGTTATTTCTACTGTTGAAGCTTCTATTGGCCTTGTGTATTTGTTTCCCATCTTCTACTTACAGGGAACCGCATTCTCAGCTGATCTTAAGATTTTGTTTCGACTGCTTTTTGCCTTTTCCCCATTGTACTTTGTGTCTTACATGGCTTAATGCATCTATGGGTTGATATATGCTTGATGTCAAATGAGGGGTTGGTTTGGATCTTATTCCTGGGCATCCTAATTAGGCCTCTTCTTGAAGGGGCTATTTCTAACTTCATTGACTCAGCCTTTGATATGGGAAGCTACTTTGATCTTCGCCATGCATTGGCCCAAGTAGTCTCCGGGTTGCGGCCATGGCGGGTTTTCACATGGATCCTCTGGATGAATGTTTAGTTTCTTAACTTTTTTTAATGGACATTTATACAATATAATAAGTGTTGCTGAAACTTTTCTTAATGGACATTTGTGAACTATAGGGCGATTATTTCTTATTCTTCTTTTAGAGGAAAAAAACGTAGAATAAGAAATTCTCTCTCTATAGTTCACAAATCATAATACGTTAGGCCATCCTGTTGAAGAAATTTCTTCTTCTTCTTCTTTATATCATTGACTTCATTGTGCTGATACTTGTCATTAAAATGTTGAATCACTGCATTGTTGGTTATACAGATACGTGTCGGGATACAAAAACCGCTTCCAGAACTTCATTCGCTATCTACGTGAAATGGGTGACGAGGTTCAATTTTATCCCTTTCTTCTATTTCAGCTTCTATACATGCATTTTTAACCAATCTTGAATTCTTTAATTCGACAAGCTTGAGTGTGTTCTATTTAATTACTTTTTGCTCGGTGTTAGGATACAAAACAAGCAATTCATATGGAAAAAAGAAAAAAAAAAAAAAAAGTTAATATTTTAGCAATAGAAAAGTTGACTTTTTCTATAATTTACTTAGGTGATGGTTGTGACAACTCATGAAGGTGTACCAGAGGAGTTTTATGGTGCAAAATTAATTGGATCACGAAGGTAAGTTAGGTACTTCATGTCAGATGATAATATCCAACAACCATGACCCTCAGTCCTTTCTCATTTTTGCTTCTTATCTCAGCTCTTTTGCTTTCATGAATGAAGTTCATAATCTCAAGCCTTCAGTTTCCGTCGAAGGTTCTATCTATTGCTCAACTGATCTTTAACTATTGGCAGCTTTCCATGTCCCTTGTATCATAAGGTGCCACTTTCTCTAGCACTTAGTCCAAGAATAATTTCAGAAGTTGTTCGGTTTAAACCCGACATCATACATGCTTCATCACCGGGGATAATGGCAAGTGTCAATATCATCCCATTGTATCTTGGAGTTCTTGAATTCGAACGTTATAGCTTGAAGTTTTTGAATTGAGCTAGCAGATTAACCATTGCCAAACTGTATTCTAGGTGTTCGGAGCTCTGATTATAGCAAAACTATCAAGTGTACCTCTAGTTTTGTCTTACCATACTCATGTACCAGTGTAGGTTCTTTTCTTATCCTTTTTCCTTTTGCACGTATTCCAATCTACTATCACCATCCAATTACAAGCATTGGAAATCCGTGAATGGTTATATTCGAGTTCATCTTGTTGTCGATTATATCCGATACTACATTAACATGTATCTGTCTTTTTTGATGTGCAGATACATTCCAAGGTATACATTTAGTTGGTTAGTTAAACCCATGTGGCTTGTTATAAGTACGTGAAGATTTATTCTATTCCATCATATCAATATGAATGTTAAGGATCACCATTTAGAATTCAGTCTTTCTTTTTAGAATTCCTCCACAGAGCGGCTGATCTTACCTTGGTTCCATCTGCTGCCATTGGCAAGGATCTTGAAGCTGAAAGAGTGACAGCAGGTGATTTGAAATAGTGCATGAACTAATGAGAAGACTTACTTTATCATATTTTATTCTGTGGAAGTAAGAGATCCATTTGACGTCTTTTACTGTTAGAGCATATATTCACACAGAGTTGTAGCCAAGTTATTTACTTGATTTCTCTTTCTTTGCAGCTAATAAGATTCGACTTTGGAATAAGGGTGTCGATTCTGTTAGCTTTCATCCTCGCTTTCGTTCTCACAAAATGAGATTGAGACTTAGGTGAGATTCCGAGCTCATATATATTTCTTAAAATCTTGTAACTTAAAGAAATTATCTCCTTTAACACGATCTGTCTTTGTCAAACAGTGGCGACGAGCCTGATAAACCACTGATAATCCATGTTGGACGACTTGGAGTTGAGAAGAGCTTGGATTTCCTCAAAAGGTACTGACTTTGTTAATTGAAACGTTGGATTTCCCAGCTCATATATTATTGTTTAGCGTTAGCACATCATGGTCTAGAGTTTGGATGAGGTTGGAGTTGCATAATAATTAAGAAAAAGGTGGCTGCCTGAGTATGCTCAGATTTCATTAGTTAGAAAAGGATTCAAGTATAAATGATTGAGCTTTGATGATAACCTTTTTTATTCCAAGTCCGGACCACGTATAATATGGAGAAACAAGTAGTTCCAAAAACCATTGAAAATATTCCAAGTCCTTGACGAGCTTGATTTTTGTCATACTTATGGTATATTTAGAGTCTTTTTGGTTGCCTGAGCATGACCTTTTTGTAGCCGTACATATGTTCATGTCTTGCAAACATTTCATTTGTTCTCACAATTTGATAGGATCATGGATAGACTTCCCGAAGCAAGAATTGCGATCGTTGGAGATGGTCCATACAGGTATATATATATTCTACAATTTGAACTCTGTAATTAGCTTATTATCTGAACTAGTTAAATATGCTTTAACATAATATACTAGCTCAACTAGTGAAAGTATTTATGTTCGACCGTAGAGGGGAACCAAACATTCTTTATAAGGGTGCGTTTTAAAACCTTGAGAGGAAGCCCCAAAGAGAAAGTTCAAAGAAGACAATATTTGCTAGCAGTGGACTTTGGGCTATTCCAAATGCTATTAGAATCAGACACTGGGCAATGTGTTAGCAAGGAGGTTGAACTCCAAAGGGGAGTGGACACCAGGCGGTGTGCCAGCGAGGACGCTGGGCTCCGAAGGGAGTGAATTGTGAGATCTCACATTGGTTGGAGTGGGGAACGAAACATTCTTTATAAGGGTTTGAAAACCTATTCCTAGTAGATGCATTTTAAAACCTTGAGGGGAATCCCGGAAAGGAAAACCCAAAGAAGTCAATATCTGCTAGCAGTGGACTTGGAACGTTACACAAATGCTATAGGGAACTCGTTTCTTGATTATGACGTCATTATTGGTCTAAATGTATAAGTTTGTGGTGCACAAGCTACTTCTTTTTTACTTGATATTTGTTGAACACTCGAAATTTCTTAAGTCATGGACAGAATTGTTTTATGTTTTGCTTTTGTTTGTAACTGTATGATGTATTTTCTTTCATGACAGGGAGGAGCTAGAGAAGCTGTTCACTGGCATGCCTGCAGTATTTACGGGCATGTTGTCTGGGGAAGAGCTATCTCAGGCTTATGCCAGCGGTGACATTTTCGTAATGCCTTCCGAATCAGAGACATTGGGACTCGTCGTATTGGAGGCTATGTCCTCTGGGATCCCCGTGATCGGAGCTCGTGCTGGTGGAGTTCCCGATATAATCCCTCCCGAACAAGATGGTAAAATCGGCCACCTTTATACCCCGGGAGACATCGATGACTGCTTAAGCAAGCTGAAGCCTCTGTTGGACGATCGTGAGCTGAGGGAAACAATGGGGAAAGCAGCTCGCAAGGAGATGGAGAAGTACGACTGGAAAGCCGCAACTCGAATAATCCGTAATGAACACTACAATGTTGCCATATGGTTCTGGTTCAGGCGCAGGAAAAGAGCCGAGTTTCTAAGACCATTTCAATGGCTGTTTAATCGAATTTTTCCATCCCCATAAGTTAATTAGCAGTGAAATGCTTCATATTTCCACCAGCTTGGTTTCAGTAGCAGAAGGTGCTTCTCCTTCTCCATTGGGAGAACACCCGTGTGATTGTTTGCTATAATATAGATATGTCGTTCTAAAACAAGGTCTTTTGAGCTTCCGCACATTGAACTTCGGCTGCTTTGGTTGTGACAACGACTGCGTTGTCAACATATCATTGGACCATCCCAAGCCATTCAAATTCCACATTTGCCCTTCCGTTAAGATTTCTCCTTTAAGAAATTAAATATTAAAATAAGAAAGAAGATGATCTCAATCATTGCAGTGGAATACAATTTTTTTTTCCCATCAGGTGGGAAACTTACAAGCTATAAAGATCACGGACAACCTAGTAAACATAATTATAAGATAAACGCCGCCGTTTTATGTTTCTTAATCAAATTCCACACACTCGCTCACAGTTTTAGAGACGATTTGGAACTTTATATATAATATAATATATATTGTTTTTTACTTTTTACCTCTAAACGGTAATTGTTGAGACATACTGCATAAAATCTGGGTCCTGCTCGAGGCCGGCCATTGTTTCCGGCGAGAGAACGATTTCCAGATCGATGCTGCCGTTACCATCTCGACCGGGGAAAGCGGAGATCTTGCCGTCGAATTTGTTGGCTCGTCCGCTTCGGACGGCGATTGGACGGCCCCAACCGAAATCGTTGTCGTACATCGGAAATCTCGGCGAGCTGCCCATGGTGATTGACGCACCGTCGTTGTTTCCGAGAGGGAATAGCCGTGGATGCCTCTCCCAATTGGCGATTTCTCGGCGGATGGTGGCGTCATCGTATGCCACCACGTTTTTATGCAGCAGATCGGCGCACCACCAGAGATCGTTCGACAGAAGCTCTCCGACCGACGCCACCGTCGGAGTACTCTGTATCGCGTTGCCGAAGTAATACGGCTCCAGCCGCGGGTTCAACCGGTGACGGCAGTTCACCGCAATACGAAACGTCGTCGTTTTAGACGGGTCAAGTTTCCTCGCACGTGTCACAGAGCGCCACAATTGTGCGCACAACGATTGGAAAGACGAAATCTCAGCCGTTCGATTTGGGACGTTAGTTTTAATCAAATTCTCCAAGACGGACGTTATATTCCCGTTGACGGTTTTCCAACTGTCATTCCCCTGTTTCCCCAAAATCTCAACAGCGTCGGTAAATCCATTGCCCGGCTTCCGTCCGGCGATCTGGTTGTTCGTGTTGGCCTTCAGCTTCAGCTTCAAAATGGATTCTCGCGTAAAGTGAAAAATCCTCTCTCTCAACGGCTCATCGCCGTTGAACGTCACCACCGGACCACCTTCGGGAAATTTCAGCACCGCCGGCGAGTTGAAAACAGTCTCTCTACAGAAATCCGGCGTCTTCGATATCTTCTTAGTCCCTTTGCAAATTTCAGCCAATGTGTTGAAAAAGTGCCAGAAAGAGGTCCCGTCGGTGACGGCATGGTTGACAGTACACCCAACAAACACTCCATCAGCTAGCTCTGTCACCTATCAAAAACAAATTCAAATATTCCGCCGTCAAATTTCAAAACAGGGGATTCATTGTTTGAGACATGTTACATTCATTTAAAACATCATGAACAAACCTGAACAGCTAGCAAGGGCTTAAAGTGGCCGGAGTAGCTAATAGTGTGATCGAATTGAAAAAACTCCTTGAAGTAATCGGGGACATCGCCGGGAGAGAGAAGGGTATTAAGAGTAATATGTTTAGCCTTCGCCTGAACGAGTTCAACCCCGGAATCATTGCAAAGGATGTGAACATGGCTGTCGGAGTCAGTGGAGAAGCGGCCGGCGAGAGGGGGGAAGTGGGAGAGAGTGGCGGAGAGAGCTCGTTTGAGAAAGGAGAAGAAATCAGAAACAGAGTAAGGAGGAGAAGGAAGAAGAACACCCTTTTGAATATAGTGACAGGAGAGCATCGGAAGATCGGAAACAGACAGCTTGAGGGAGGTGAGGGAGGAAGGTTGATCGGGAAAAACAGAGCATCGAGAGAGAATAGAAATGGAAGAGGAAGGCATGGTTCGGTTCGGTTTGGTTTGGTTGTGGAAATTAAGGTTGGGATTGAAAGGGAGAGGGAGGGTGAAGGGAGAATATATAGGAGTTGGATTCATGCACTTTGAGTACTTGAGGGAATTGGGATTGGACCTACAAAAATAATTATTATTATAAAAATGATTAATATATGTGTCAGCTTTGGAATGGATGACGTGGCGAGAAGAGAATCCAGTCAGAAGGGGAGACTAAGGTTGAAGAAGGACACATGGATTCTTTGCTCTGCCCAACACTAAAAAACATGATCCCTTCCCCCTTTGTCGGACCAAAATAATTAAAAAAATATCATCTTGATGTTAGGGAAATTAACAAATTCTTCAAAAATAAAACCATCATATTTGATTTTGTATTTAAAGGAAGATAAGCCCCTTAAATCATTAAAATTTTCAAACAAATTTGTCGTTGTTATCACGTAAACGACAAGTATTGCATTAGTGTACAATTTTGCTTTTTTATTTTCTAGGTCACGGTCTTCCCTTTGTTGTCATGTGAATGTCTGCTATTGTAACACTCGAGTAAAGGAGGAGTACATGAATAAACCGACGTCACATTCGAATGAGAGTAATACTAGCTATACCAACAAGGTACAACTTCGTTTCCAGTAGCTTAATCATAAGAATTCCAAATGTATAAGCATGCTTTGTTAAGAGTAGTTTTTTTGTTGAGTGACTTCTTGAGAATTTTCCTAGACAACACGTGAGTGATGACAAAATATACTATAATCTTAGAAGTGAGAAATGAGTGACACGATCATGTCGCAAGGAAATGTCAGGGCCATTAAATGCTAGATCTGGATTCGCTACGCTATCTATTTGAATTTTGGGAACAGCATCACTAAACTTGTCATTTATCCTCGAGACCAATAAAAGTAAGAAGTTGAGATTGGATAAAACTCGTCTATAAATAATCATATTCACTAGGTTGAGCTGATCCATAATTAATTGAGTTAAGGTGTCTGATATCATCTTATATTATACAGCATTGTAAAATGGCGGCTAAATGTTCCATATGGTAGACTAACTTGCTTATTATTTATAGCAGTTAATGAAAGAGCCCAATGCAAAAAAATGCATGTTGGGTCTTTGAAACAGTTCAAATCATTTTGATAATAATAAGTTTGATCTGTTTTACCGAGAAGGTCTACGGTTCGAGTCCGTATAGCCCTATATTTTTAATAAACACTGTAATCATTACCCTTTACAAATCACGAATACTAAGAAAAAAAAATGAAAATTGGTTGGGATTGAATAAAACCCAGACACATAGAGGTCTACATTGAAAAGACACAACTCAAGAACATCACTACATCACCCCTTTAATGTTCTTGTTCATGCACCTCAACCAACAACACCTCCCTTCTCTCTTGTCTTCCCCTCTCCTTACCTTTTTTTTCTTTTCTTTTTTTCCTACTCTTCTTGACTCGATAAAATGATTTAGCTACCGACAATTGGTTTCTGAGATCCCACGTCAATTTCTTATATGGGTGTGAAAATCTCTTTCTAGTAGACGAGTTTTAAAACTGCGAGCCTGACGGCGATATGTAATGAATCAATGTAGACAATATCTGCTATCATAAATGGTCTTAGGGCTGTCAACTAGAACGTTGGGCCTTCAAAAGAGGTGAACTGTGAGATCTCGCATCAATTGAAGAAGGGAGCGAAACATTTCTTATAAGGTGAGGAAACCACTCCCTAGAGTAAACACATTTTAAAATCGTGAGGCTAACAACAATACGCAACGGACAATATCTGTTAGCGGTAGACTTAAATTCTTACAAATTAGTAGTTCAACCCTCTCCTCTCTTACTCATTCTTGAACTAAAAAGAAACATATAGTATTCATTTCCATCTACCCTTCTCTTATTTTGTCATTCCATCATTGATTACGAACTCAAAAACTATAGTATCCACACATGTTATACATTAAGACTTCATTTTAGGAGAAATGAGTGTGTTCATCATTGATAATCATTGTGAGATATGCCCACAATTATTGGATCTACACTATATTTATTAATCAATGAAGCTGGTTTTGTTATGCAATCATAAAATAAAGCATAATATGTGCATTATGTGCATGTGAGTATATACTTCTTCTAACATAACGATTATGAGAGAACCGAAGATCGAGATAACCGACGATTCTATTTTTGAAAAATAAATGAATAATTTAAAAAACAATCAGTATTATTTGATTTGGTGACTTGTCACGAACATGTAAAGCGAGATTACAAGGTGATAAGACTCTCGTAGAATTTAGGGTTTTTCCATTACGTAATTGTTAGTTATATTCGTTTGGCATTGAGTTGAGCTATAAAACATTATGGGAGACAAAACATAGTGGGTTTAGGAAAAGGCTAATTCAAAAAAAAATATATATATTAAGGAGATTAGCTAACTCCCACCACTAATCAACATTTTAATCAAAAACTTAATTAATTAAAATCGAATCTCAATTATTTGTAATTTGATTTTAATTTAATTTTGGTGTTGATGAGAGAAATTGTTAAGGACACTAATATTTCATATTTAATATTTAATATTTAAAAAATAATAATTAGGTTTGAAAGTTGAAGGGTAAAGTTGGAATTATTTAGCAAATGTGTATGCCAATAATTTTTGTGCAAAATGATGATGGCAGAGAAGAAAGGTTGTGAAGCTTACGAACACCCACGTGAAGGAAAACCAAGTTGTGTCTGACTGATCTGAATCTGAATCAGATCTCATCCCCTCTCCAATATCCATCAATCCATTTATAACCCCAAATAGTTTTTGTTGCTCGTAAATCAATTAAGCAACGTTTCGTTCTCCTCTCCCACCATTATGAGATCTCACAAATCCATCTCCCTTGAAGGCTAGTGTGATACCATTCGTAATAGTTCAAGTACACCGCTAGGAAGAGATTTCCACACCCTTATAAGGAATGTTTCGTCCTCCTATTCAACCAATGTGGGATAGAAGTTTAGCGTCCTCACTGGCACACCGCCCATCTTCTTACTCTAATACCATTGGTAACAATCTAAGTCAACGACTAGTAGATATTATCCTCTTTGGACTTTTCTTTCAAGGGATTCCCTTAAAAATGTTTATAAAGAATGTTTCGTACTCCTCTCCAACTGATATGGGATCTCGTTATTCATTCACATTCTCTTAAATTGAATAGAGATTGGATTGGATATGACGTGGAATGACTGGACGTAGAACAAGACCTAGAACACCTAAATGGATAAGTTAGAGTGTATGTGCATATGAAGGCAAAATCTTGTAGATTTAGTTACTTTATGGTTTGGTGTCGTTTAGCAAAAGCAATTGAGTGAGGCATGAGGGTGGAAGGCTTTTTGGGTTAGGAATTACAGACAAGCTCCCAATGTTGCTACAATTTGACCACCAACAACCTGACACTAACCCAGATTGGGAGTAAATTTATAAGGAAGGTGGGAGGAATATTCCCACAGCTATATATCTCTGTGAGGGCCATTATTGAGAGGGACTGAACTGGCCCATACGATGACAGCTACAACCTCCAACCAAAACCTGACAACTTGAAGCACCTAAGGCCTACACAGCTTTGGCACAAGCTGCCTCTTCCATTTCTTCCATGGTTGTTTCATGACGCCCACTACCTGTTCGATGAAAGTCCTCAAAGAACCGAGATGCGCAGAGGAGAGGCAGGGCAGGTGGGGTGGCTCAGCTAAGTGCTGCTGCGAAATGAGGAAGGAAAAGAAAGTGGTGAGTGGGTAATGGATAATGATTGTGGTGGGCACGTTGTGAGTGTGTTGCGCAGACAGTGATATCTCTGTAGACATCAACTAAACTAAAACCAAACCAAACCAAACCAAACACAAAAACCCCACCTTTTCCCCCTACAATGCATGTGGGATTTTTACAAACCAACCATCACTTAAAATCTTCTCATTCTTCTTTCCTTTTCCCTCCTCTCTTCATTATTTTCTTAAACCCATAGCCCTCGTGCTCGTGTTTCTTTGTCTATCGTTTCTCATTCTCCTGTCTCTTCATATGTCTTTTAACTCTTACGAATCACTGACTTACTTACATGATATTAAGCATAAGTTCCCGTGGTTCTCATTTTAGTTTCTAAAAAATATCTTTGGACTCAAGTACACATTTCATGTCCCAATAGTCCGGCCCAAGCCCAAACATAATTGTCTTGGATATTCATTTTAAGTTTATTACATTAATTAAGACTACACATTGACATGTCCATCTTTACCACATTTATTTGCCAATAATATAAGCATACAAACTAATTAATTCAATACCCAAATTCTAACTATATCCTCACTTGTATTGTTGCTCCCTTTGCACTTGAAAAACATTGGGGCTGTAAGGACCAATATTTTGGCACCCATGGATGTTGCCTCCAACAAAGATTCGGTCTTGTAATAGCTTAGGTCCGAGTGAGGAGATCCCACAATTTGGTGTCACGCCATTGTATGGAATTGGGGAATAAGGTGACTTAGTATTGGGATGAGTTAGATTGTCGGGTAGATTGACGATAGTGATATCATGGATGCTTGATCTTCTCCTGTCTTTCCCTCCAGTGAGTTGTCTGATGAAATACTTTTGGGCGTGGCTAGCTACTTGCGTTGGAGTTCTTGTCGTGACGAAGTTACGAGAAATGTTCCGCCAATCTCCTTTACCGTACTTCTTCAGACCCATCAAGAATTGCCTGTAATTTTAGTCATATCGAACTATCATTAGATAAGCTCAAAACTAGAGTGAAATAACCTGATAAGCTTGGTTCCATAATCATTTATGTATGAATCAAACCCAAAATTTAATTTCATTTTCCTCAATTTAGAGTTAAATGTCTCAAGCAGGCAAATTAATGAGTTTATCAAACCTGTGTTCTTCTTCAGTCCAAGGTACTCCCTTTTTCCTTTCATGATCGGAAGGCCGACCGGAGACCCCTCTCTTCCCGGCGCCGCCGTAAACCGACCCAAACCCGCAGCCGTCATTCGACCATTCCAACACAAAAGAGTTGCCAGTAGCGTACCCCGGAATCGGAACCAACCCTGCTTCAATATCACTCACATCCGCCACTAACTCTCTGTACTGATTCATCACGTCGCCGACGGTTTTTCCGGGAATCATGGCGGCGACTTTCAACCACCGGTCCGACGAATCACTGTCAAACAAAGCCAAAGCATTTTCGAACCGCTTGTTCTCCTCCACCGTCCAGTTGGAGCAGCTGGAGCTTCGACGGTCGGTCGCCGGAGACAGAATTCCAATTCCTCGTTTCATCAACCCAATTTAGAATAATTCAAAAAATAAAACACATAGCAGTGGAAGAAATCAAAAACCCATAAAAACCCAGTTGAAGAAATGCAAAACTAAACAGATCGTAAGAAATTGAAACAGAGGAAGAACAGGGCCAAAACTTCGAGCTAGCCCACCAAAATCAACCAAAGAACTTGATCGAACCATACGAAAAACAAAATGGGTTTCTTCAGAAAGAAATTAAACAACAAAATTTAGGTTGAGAAGGCGAAAAACAGTGATTGGTGCTGCCGGTGGGATCGAGATCTATGGGACAAGAAGAAGGCACATAATGAAAAGAGACATAAATTGAGTAAAAGCTGTCGAATTTTGATTGGTGGATTTGGAATTTGTAGGGACATTTAAGCTTAATTGGAGAAAAAAATGAGAGAAATGCACAATAAAAGACGAGACTTTTCCTAATTAAACTTTATAAATCAAATTGAGATGTTGAAGAACAGGGGATGCCCATTTGGTCAATATTAAAATCCGCTAAGAATTTAGATTATTTTGTTGGAGTTAAAGACAGAGTGGAAATCAGCTCTTTTTTTATTTTTATTGTGACATTAATCATTACAAAGTTATTATACTAATTAATTAATTAATTAATTAATTAAAGTGAAAAGGAGACCACAAAATCAGGATCATCTCGAGGTCTCTGTCATCACCAGAAATAACAACCCACCAAGTACAGCTGCTTCATAATTGTATATTTATTTTAATTAATTCCTTTATTTTTATTTTTTTCTATTATCTTTCATTTATTTATTTACTTAATTTTGCTTTGACCTTCTCCGTTCTGACACCTGTCCCTGCCTCGTTGTACGGACAAATCAAACAAGTATTTTTTTGTTTAAAATAAATTCAAACATGAGATTAATTAATAATTATCTCATCTGTTCATAAAATTCCACCACAAATAATTTAAAAAATAAAAAATAAAGTCAACCCGCCCTTATAGATTATCCACTCTCAAACGTTATTTGACTTTAAAAAAAATATATATATATATATAGTCACAATTTTAGTCACAGAAGTATATAAGTAAATGACCGTGGGTATATATATATATATATATATATATATATATATATATATATATATTATCTGATTAAGTTGCCAAAAAAAATTTATCATGGACTAAAAATACAAAAGAAAAAAATGAAAAGAAAATTCCATTAATAATAAAAATAAAAATAAAAAGAAACGATTTATAAATCATGTGTATAAAAGCAAAAATTAAATTTCTTTGTTCTTATTATTTCTTTCCTGTGGATTAACATTTTGGGAGGTCGCTCGGAGGCGGTAGAAGCGACTGTTTGGGGCCTTTACCGTTTTCCACCATGAATGCCATCTTCAATCCCCAAGTCGTATGGATTTCCAAATGGCAATGCATGAACCATACTCCTACAAGGTGAAATTAAATCAAAGCTCTTTCAATTTCATTTCAATAGTTGTAAGATTTGAACAAGAACTCGACACAGGGTTGGTTAATATTCTGTTTACCTGGATTGTCCGCACGGAATCTTATTGCTGTCCATCCACCTGATGGAACTCCGATTGTGTTCCTCTCTACCGGATCCACGAGATTGAATTTCTTAGGGTCGGTTTTAGGGTTGAAATTGCCGACCCCTCGACCGACTTCGAAGAAATTGAATCCGTGGAGATGAATGGGATGGTTTTCTGGGGTTACGATTCCTGTATCTTGTAGAACTAGTTCCACTGTGGAGTTGTATTTTAATTTGTAGAGCTTGGTTCCACTTGTAGTCTGCAAATTTTTAGGTCCGGCCCCTGTGTAGTTGAATTTGTGAGGGGGTTTTCCTGGAAAATCTGTGGTGAAAACGCCGTTGATTTTGAAGAAATGTGCTTGTAGAAGAGCGGTTGTGGGCATTGTAAAAGTGACATTGTTAATACTAGCTACTACTCTGCTTCCATTGCCGGCCTTGCAAGTTGGACATGGGTTGATTCCAAGCCCTACAGTGAACAAGAGATGGTGGTCGATTGTCAATGGAACATTGGCAGGGTACTTTTTGGAGTTCAAGCTTCTGAGGGCATTTGTGAAGGCGTTGGCAATTTGTGTAGCGTTTTGGGGAGGGGGGTTGGTGCTTGTTGTGAGGGATGAGGCCATTGTACCGGTGTAGTGCACCGTGGCGGTAGCAGTCTTGTTATCGACCGCAATGGGAGCGTCCATGAATGGAGAGACAGCCACCATGTATTTGCCAGAGTTTTTATCCGTGGTTAAGAGGACGTTGGTCGTCTGGCCAGGAGCAACTAGAACTGTGTCTGTTTTGAATGGTTTGACATATGTAGCATCGACTTCTACGACTGTTAACTTGTGGCCAGCGACTTTGAAGAACAGTTCTTCATTGAGTGCAGCGTTGATTATGCGTAGTAAATAGGTCTTTCCTTTTTGAACAGGCAATGTGAAGCCCCCTGATTACCAAAAAGAACAACATTAGAAAATCCATCTGAGGAAAGTTCGAATTGGGTCAGTTTCTTGATGGAATTACTTTGTGAAGGACAATTTGATATTGACCCTGAGAGGCCATTGATGGTGTGAGCATCGGAGACATTTGGTGCAAGTCCCGACTTGAGAGCTTCTTTGATCACAGCTTCGGTATCTGATTTCCACCACTCAGCTACACAAATTCAAATCGCCATTCATTCTCAAAAGCAAGTCAAAATCTCTATTTTCCAGAAGGAAAAGAAAGGATGGAAAGATGAATTAGTGAACTTTTGAGGTTCATACCAAGCACAAGGACAGTTTCTTTGTGAGGTGTAGGGAATGGATAAGGCACACCAAGCTTCGGCAAGATCACAATGGCACCATGGACAGTGGCTCTAAGCCAGAGAATATGAGCGTGCCAGAAGAGCGTGCCTCGTTGTCCGGTAATGGTGAAGTTGTACACATAGCTTTGCCCTGGTTGAATCGGACATTGTGTGATGTATGCAGGTCCATCAGCCCAGCCAGTTCGGAGTTGCCTGATTCCATGCCTATACCACCAACATTGTGTTCATGAGACCGTGAGTTATCATACTCCATTACACTACATAGAATATGATTTTGTGGGAACTCACCAGTGAATGGAAAGGTTATATTTGACATGGTTGACGACTTTGACGAGAACGGTATCGTCTTCTCTAGCGTAAAGGGTTGGTCCAGGGAACAGTCCATTAACGGTGACAATGGGCTTGTTTGAGCACAGTCTAGTTGCCTTCCTCAACACCACCTGCCACCCAAAATGGCTCAATATCAGTCATCACAACAGAATCAGGTCATTCGAAGGCCCTGTTTCTTAATAATTATGTTTTGTTGAAGGGTTCAAATTCCTTAAGTTTTAGGAAAGGAGAAAAGTAAAGAAGGGGAAGCTTACATTGAACTTATAATGGCGAACTGTGGACTCGGCCAAAGCAGGAAGAAGGCAGCAAAGTGCGAAGAGAACAAAGCATCTGGAAGACTCCATTGAAGGGTGTGGGGAAGAAATGTAGAAGAAGATGATGAGAAGGATGGGCATGCGAGTCAGGCTTATATACAGAAACTCAAAATAAGGTATTAAGGGAATAAATCTATGTGTTGTTGCCATGTCGTTCTTTCGCAGTTAGGTGATAAGTTAAAGCATGACTTCATGCAAAAGGATTTTCAGATCAAACCACAATCCGCTGCACCATTTTCTTTTTTTTCTTTTTTTCTTATATTATTAAACTTAGTTTATTATAATATTCTGGATTCTATCTAAAAAGTAAAAATGTTCATTTTCCAAGGTGTAATTAATTATGATGGTGATGGGGGGTTTTGTCCAACTTCATTTCCTTTTTCGTGACAAGTTGAGAATAATCAATTTGAAGGGGGGAAGGGTATGAATGATATTTGTTGTAATGACATGTAACAACTTAAGCATGCCGTTGGTAAATATTGTTTGTACATTGTTGATAACATTTATAACAATCTAAGCTCATCATTAGCAGATATTGTCCGTTTTAGTCCGTTACGTATCGTTGTTAGCTTTACGGTTTTAAACACTTTTGGTAAGGAGAGGTTTTCATACCTTTATAAGAAATGTTTTGTTCCTCTCTCAAACAAATGTGGAATTTCATAACCCACCCTTGGAGGCCAGCGACCGCATCTTCAACCAAAGCCCAAGGGGCTAGCGTCTTCGTTGGCATATCGCATGTGTCTGGTTCTTTGATATCATTTGTAGCAACCCAAACTCAAAAAAAACTAAAAAATTAATGATATTTTGTATGAAAAATCGATAATTTGTGAGGAATCATAATCAAAAGAGGTCCAAATAAAAAAAATTATGCATGCAAACCAAAATTTATGTGAGTTTATATTAATAATATTTCATAATCCAAAATATATTAATAATATTATGAAAACTTAATTTTTAATAACATTAATTATTTGTATAATGATATTTGCTATTTCAATTTTAAAATATATTCCGAACCCTTCACTTGTTTTTCAATCTTTTTTTTAGCTTTTCTTAACTTACAATATACACATTTCAAAATTAAAATGGTTAATTAATTAATTTATTAAAATGTCAACTTCATATTTATTTTTTATATTAAATCAAATAATTTTAAAATATTAGTAAGTAATAACTATTTTAAAATAAAATTAAAAAGTATATTTTAGGCCACACTTATTAATTATTATTATTATTATTATTATGATAATCTTGCAACGGATTAACAAAATTTATGAATTGAACGATCGGCCAACCAAAAGCTACTTTTGGTTTTGCCGTTTCATTATGTGATTAAATGTCGAGTGTTTGGCTGTGACGAACAAGAAGCGGGCTGCTCTGTCTGTCATTGTTTTTCTCGCGCCTTCATCTTCTTCAACTCATCGCTCTGATCCCTTTTTCTTCTCTTGTTCTTCAAGGTTTTTGTTTCTACACTTTCATAAACTTCAACCCTTTTCATTATTTTCGATCATCTCAAGAGGGCTTCGATTCTTTTCCTCTAGAACAACATTTCTCGCTTTGGATCTTCCAGAAATCACTTGATTCTGTTTGCTTTGTGATTGATTTTATATATTGGTTTTGACTTCTTCAAGCATGTGATACGATTCAGTGTTCTCTGTTTTATTTGTGTTCTTTGATTGCGACACTCAAACCTTGGAGTGATTAAAAATTTAGTGCGTTGAATTTTAAATTCATTCGTGGAAAAAGGCAAGTTCATCCGTACCCTTTTATTACTTTAACCAAATTCAAACAATCAGAGTTGAAAAGTTGAATGTGGTTTTGGATTGTTCTTGCCTCTTCAAAGGGAATCTAACTTCGTAGAGATGAGATTATTAGGTTCTAATTTTACCGATTGGGGTTTAGTTTTATAATCAACAGGCTCAGTAGGTATTAGCATATCACGAGGGAACTTTACAATGGCAGAAGATGATGTGTATACAAAAGATGGTACCATTGATATTCATAAGAATCCTGCTAATAAGAAGAAGACTGGAAAATGGAAGGCTTGTCGCTTTATTCTCGGTATGTTTACTCTGTTCTTAACGTTTGATTTTGATTGTTCTTTGTTGAAATTTGTAACGATGATATATTTGTAAAGGGAATGAATGCTGTGAAAGATTGGCATATTATGGGATGAGTACCAATCTAGTGAACTATCTTCAAATACGTCTTAACATGGACAATGTAGCTGCTTCAAATAGTGTTACTAGTTGGTCAGGAACCTGCTACCTTACACCATTGATTGGAGCTTTCTTGGCTGATGCTTACTTGGGAAGATATTGGACCATTGCTAGTTTCTCAATCTTCTATGTCTTTGTAAGTTTTTCTTGTCGATCGGCGAAAAGAGAACGAGTTGTTCTTCAAATCACATAAGAACTTGAACTGGGTTGGCTTGAGTTAGTGGCTGCATTGTAGTGATACCATGTTTATGATATATGGTTTTGCAGGGCATGACATTGTTGACGATGGCTGCTTCAGACCCTGGATTGAAGCCATCTTGTGACAATACTGTTTGCCATCCAACTGGAGGTCAAACTGCTGTCACCTTCATAGCACTTTACTTGATCGCCCTCGGGACCGGGGGAATCAAGCCATGTGTGTCGTCGTTTGGGGCCGATCAATTCGACGAAAATGATGAAGGCGAAAGGAAGAAGAAAAGCTCCTTCTTCAATTGGTTTTACTTTTCAATCAACGTTGGTGCAATGATTGCCTCCTCAGTTCTAGTATGGATACAAATGAATGTAGGGTGGGGGTGGGGCTTTGGAGTTCCTGCAGTAGCTATGGCCATTGCTGTAGTGTTTTTCTTCTCCGGTAGCTCGTTGTACCGTCTGCAAAAGCCAGCAGGAAGTCCTCTCACAAGAATCTTGCAAGTTATAGTTGCAGCTTGTAGGAAACAAGGAGTACAAGTTCCAGAGGATAAGTCTCTCCTTTACGAGACTGCTGATGATGTCGAGTCGAAATCGAAGGAAGTCGCAAGCTCGAGCACATGAACGAGTTAAAGTAAGTATATTACTGGGATCAGAATTGAAGGAAGTCGAAAATCATGGAGAGATTCTTATATTATCCAAATTGGCTACATCTTTTCAGGTTCCTAGATAAGGCTTGTGTATTGAGGGAAAGTGATGGAATGAAGGGGCAAGGGAATGCATGGATACTTTGTACAGTGACACAAGTTGAGGAGCTGAAAAGCATTATCAGATTGTTGCCTGTGTGGGCGTGTGGAATAGTATTTTCAGCAGTGTATAGCCAAATGAGCACCATGTTTATTCTACAAGGTAATATAATGGACCAGCACATTGGGGCAAGTTTCAAAATTCCATCGGCCTCGCTTTCGATCTTCGATACCCTCAGCGTTCTGTTTTGGGCTCCCGTATACGACAGACTCATCGTCCCAATGGCGAAGAAGTTCACGAACAATGAGCCTGGCTTCACACAGCTACAACGGATGGGAATAGGACTTGTCATATCTGTTTTCTCCATGGTTGCAGCAGGTGTGTTGGAAGTTTTCAGGCTGGAGTATGTGAGGAAGAACAAGCTATACGATGCGGAGTACATTCCGATGTCGATATTCTGGCAAGCTCCACAGTATTTTTTGATCGGATGTGCAGAAGTGTTCACTTTTATAGGACAGTTAGAGTTTTTCTATGACCAAGCACCAGACGCAATGAGAAGCATGATGGCTGCCCTGTCGCTCATATTGGTTGGATTGGGAAACTACTTAAGCACATTGCTCGTTACAATCGTGACGACCATGACAACGAGACACGGGAAGCTCGGGTGGATTCCTAATAACTTAAACAAGGGACATCTCGACTATTTCTTCTGGCTGTTGGCCATTCTCAGCGTCCTCAACTTCTTTGCCTATCTCTTTGTGGCTAAGTGCTATCGCTACAAAAAGGTAACAGGTCATTTGCGCTGAAAAAACCAACTTCAATTCTCAGTTCTTAGCTTTTTATTTACATTTACGTTGGATTTGTTTTGCTTTGAATCACTTGTTGGGATTGTTTCTTTTGTTCTTCATTGGTTGCTTTATTGACTTTGAGGCCTAAGTTATTGATTGGGTTTTTGTTTTCAACAGTGTTAAATGTGTGGTTTGATCAATGAAAATGTTTGGTTTAGGTGAAGAATCATTGCTAATCTTTAGAAAAATGGCTGAATGGCTCATGTCTCAACCTTAAACAGGGCTGTCTGTTCAAATTGTTCCCACTTATTTAGCATTTTGAGGATTCCAGCCCCAAGGGTTTCCATGATTGTGTCCCACCCTCTTTTTTGGACTAATCGAACTCCATGTTCACACTTTCTTTTTAGATTAATTAAGTGTCGATCCGGTTTGTTTTTCGGCTGATTTGCTAATAATGTATGGAATTGATTAGTCTAAGTATTTATTCGGCTGTTTTCTTTCTTTTTGTAAAAAACATGTCGGGTCGAAACTTACTCGGCAAAGAATTTTGCTACCTTACAACTGTTATAGTTACGAGCCCGCCGTTGGTTCACTTGGACTTATGGTAGTCTGTAGCCAAATCATGAACTTCCTTAACGTTGAGACCGGCCTGCCACTTAAATTTACAATTCTGGGTAGAAAGCTTTTGACTTCATTTATTTCAAGAAATTGACATCACATCAGTGATGTTGATATTAGCAAACAAAAGAAACAAGAATCACTGTGTTTCATGATTTGTTTTTCTTTCTTTTGGGCATTGCCTGTCTCATCGGAAGTTGGTAGCTTAGAACAAACAATGAAATCACAGTAAGAATGAAAATTTTAAGCGAATTAAGAAGCGTTCTTCGTTCTTCGTTCTACTGAGAAATTGAAAAATAAATAATTCTCAAGAAACCCATTAAAGAAAACGCTTGGCCAAAGAACAGATATCAACTTTAAACCAGAAAAACAAGTTTTTTGAATTGAATCCACCCCCCCCACCCCCCAGCCAATTCCAGTTTAATACAGTCGAAGAACACTTCTAGCAATGGAGTGTGCTTGATTGGGTTTCACCTTCCCGGCGGCAGAGCCTCTCCGGCTGTCCTTCATCGGCGTCATGTAGAATCGGAGAAGACCATTGTCGACATTTGTCAGAGAATGTCGAGCACTGTGGTTCCTCACCAACACTGGCTGCTGCTGCTGCTGCTCCTGTTCTTTCTTCTTCTTCCCATTCCCATTACAATCTGCGTTGCTTTTCCTTGAACTGCTACTGAAAGATCCACCCACCATACTTGCACTCCTCCAACTCACACTACTGTTACTCCTAAACATTTTGGGGTTGAATCCTCCTTTCACATCCATACTCTGTTCGCCTCGCAACTCCGGCCACGACCCTGAAAACGACCGCTCCACACCATTGCGTCTGCTCACGTCTTCCTCATCATCTTTGTTTCCTCCACGCCGGTTAATCAATCCCCATATGCTCCAACCCTTCCCCCACCGGCGGGACTTTTTTGACTCCTCTTTCCGATTCCCTGTCGCAATCACTGACGCTGTGTCGTTAAATCCCATATCAAAGGTCCCGGAGCAGTCGTCTCGCACTGAATTGGAGTTCGAGTCTCTATCTGGGATGGATAGTTTTGGGCCATGGCTAATATCTGTAGTTGCAGGGGAAACTTTAGCGTTTGAAACAGATTTCATTTCATCAATCTCTGCTACCACCGCCGCGGCGGCCTTTCTTATGGAGTTGGACCGATCGAGGCTCTTCCGCCGACGGGAAGAGGAGTCTAAATAGTAATCCCGGGTCTGCGATGTCCCTCCGGGGATATTCTCTTCTTCATTGGTTGAACTCAGGGAGTCTTCGACGGGAATTTGAGTATCGGAACGGAAGACACTGATAGGAGCATCTTCAACGACGGAAAGCATGGTAGGCATTTTCGGGAACGTTCTGCTTATCAAATACCCGTCCCATGAAGCCCTGGGTTCGTCGAAAGAATAGCGGGGATCGTCGAAGGACATTCGCCCGGCGTCGAGAGAGAATCTCGGATCAATATCGCAGGATCGTCGGCCGAAGCCGTAATCGGCAATTTCCGACTGGGTTTCTCTGAAATGGCGTCCGATTGGCTTCTCCACCGGCAATGTCGTAGATCCAGCGCCGCTTCTCTGCTTCTTCCCCTTCTGCTTATCCCTCCACTTCTGCAGCTTCTTGCTGAAGACCGAAGCCGCCGACAAGAAGCTCCCGGCAATCTCCTTCAAATCCCTTCCGGAGGGCTTCTTCGTGTGCGAATCAAGATCTATATGATCCTTCATGGTTTTGAAATCCTCTTGGAGTTGCACCGATTCTCGCTCGAATTCAACCTGAAGTTGTTCTTCTTCGACGATTTCCTGAACTCCGTTCTCGATCACAACATCCACCACAATGGGCAGTTCAGAAACCCTAATTTCCCCTTCGCTCTTGGGTTCCGGTTCAAGACAGGAAGAAGAACTCGGCTCGTCCTCCAAATTCTTACTCTCGGAAGCAATTTCAAAAGCAGGAACAGGGAGAGGTCTAGAAGAAGAAGAAGCAGAGGCGTCCTGGGAGAAGAAAGAGCAGAGAGTGTTACGAAGACGAACGTCGCAAGATTTCCTGTGGGGCTCAGAAAGGGCAGAAAAGGGTTCGTTCTTAGAAGCAGAGAAGGATTTAGTCCGACGAAGCTCAGGGAAGAAAGAAGAGGGACGAGTAGTAGGAGGACCGGGCCGGAAAAGGGACTTAAGAGCAGAGGCAGCAGTGGAAGGGGGTTTCCGGGAAGAGGAGGAAGAGGAAGAAGATGAGTCGATTAGAGAGAGACGCTCGCAGAGGCATAATTGGCAGAAAGGGGCGAAATGCTCTTGAGGGTGTCGTGGACAGGGGGCGGCGACAGCGGAGGAAGGAGGAGGAGGAGGTGGTGGTTGTGCGGCGGCGGTGGAGGGATTCATAACACGAAGAAGGAGAAGCTATGGAAAAATGGGCAATGGAGAGAATGCCATGATAGGATCTTGTAAGAAATTTAGAGAGAAGGAATAATGAAAGTGAAGTAAAGCCATGCCTATTGTTCATTATTATTCTTAAGCTTTTCTCTTTTTCTCCCTCCTCTTCTCTCCTCTGTTTCAACTGACACCAACAACACACAGAAGAGAGAGATTTTACACCACCACTTGGGATGCCCCACACATGGTGTGTTGTCTCCTCTCTTTTTTTTTTCTTTTTTTTCATTTATAAAAATTCAAAAATTTAATCCATATAAATATAAATTTACCCTAAATCAGATACTGTGTTAGCAAGGACTTTGACCTTTAAAGGGGCATGGACAAAGTTGTATGCCATTGAAGATCCTAAATTTCAAAAGAAGATAGACACTGGACGATGTGCCAAACAAAGACATTGGGCTTGAAGGGAGGCAATACCAAGCCGAGCACCATTGAAGATGCTATGCCCTAAAGAGAGGTGGACACCAGATGGTAGCGTAAATAAATACATATGTATGAAGCATGTGGGAATGATTAGAAAATTAGTAAAATTGTGAGGACTAAAAAGCAAAGTAAAAAATAAAATTGATTGTTATTATTATTATTATTATTATTATTATTTTCTTTTCACTTTTTTTTTTTTCTTTTTTCCTGTTTGCGTGATGTGTTGTGTTGGGTTTCTTTTTGTTTTTTCAATCTCTTTTTTCTTTACCCAATCAAACAAAACATTTTTGGCATTTAAAAATAAATATAAATTTCTGTTTTTTCAATGTAGCCTAACTATGGTCTTTAATAAAATGTTGTGAATTTTGTTTATATTAAAATGGCCTAATTTATTTATTTTTTTTATTATTAAATATTGGGATAAAGTTTTTTTTTTTTTTTTTTTTTGAGGGAAAAGAAAGGGATGTTTACTATGCCGTTCATAAAAATAGTGACCTTTTCATGTAAAAGTAAAAGTAAAAAATAAAAAATGATGACAAAAGGTCTCGTCCCTGATTTTGCGAGCAAGAAAAGAAATTTCAATTATTGTTCACTTATTAATTTCACAAATATAAATAAATTCATATTCCTCTTAATTTTTATTATTATTTATATAAATAATAAAGGAAAAATAAAAAAAAAGTAAATTATTATTTGACTTTGATACCACTTGTAATTGGTTAAGCTCACTGTTAGCAAATATTGTGGACTTTCCCTTTCGAACTTCCCTTAAAAGTTTTTAAAATGCATCTACTAATGAGAAGTTTTCACAACCTTATAAAGAATGTTTCATTGTTTCTCTAAAAAAGAAAAAAAAAACATAAATGTGTTTAATGTTTTATATTTTTTCCAAATCTAATAATGTTCCTGTTTTATTCCAACTTATAAGTCCCCACCAAATTTTTGTACATTTATTTGTCTCTCCTTTACAATTCAATCATTCTTTAGTAATATATATATATATATATATAAAATAAATAAAAATAAAAGGGTGAAATGGTAATAAGGTAATAATGCAAGAGAAAAACATGCGCACCCATTCTACGTTTTTAGTTAATTATTAATGTTACCTAATTACCTTGCTATATCATTATCATTCATTATTACATTTACTTCTATTTTTCTTACCCTTTTTACTCGATACTATAAAATAAAAACACTACAATCAGACACGTGGCAAAATACTGGCCTTAGGATATTGAATGAAAATTATTCGTGGAATCCCAAGAAAAAGAAGGTAGAATTTGACATTAAAAACACTACAGACAAAATCATTTTTAATTCTATATTTACTATTTTCATTTATATAAATAGTAAAGGATAGAAAACTCAAATCAAGATTATTGTTTAATTTCAATATACTTTTAGAAACTATGTGGGCCAAAATTGGAGACATATATTCAATGGGCCGCGGCCCAAATACAATTTATTGAGAAGATACGCACTAAATATTTGTTTGGTCAAAATTTGTAAGAGATTTAAAGGAATTAAATTATTTTATTCTAACCCATCCTAACTTTTCTATTAAATTTCATGTCATATAAGTCAACAACTAAATTTATTGCCCTAATAAAAACGCTATAATTGAAAATTATTTAACGTCTTTAAATAAGTCAGCTCGTTGAAAAATGGAAATTGCCCTATTAGTTTTTATTGGATTTGGATCCATCGGGACTGACTAATAGGCCCCTCATCTTCTGCCTTGACAGGGCTCTAACCAATTAAACTACA